TCACTAATGCCAAGGATATCAATCTTTATGCATTCCATTTCATTTTTGACAACTTCCAATTTTCCTAGATTCATACTTCATACTTTCCATGTTCCAATTATTAATGAATGCTTGCAGATGTTTCTTCTCATTTTGAGTCATGCCCCATCAACAAATGGAGGTCCCAGGAAGCTTTACTCCATCCACATCATTAGGTCACCTCTACCTTGAGGAGGCAGCTCTTCCCCAGTCATATTTTGAGTGCCTTCGAACCTGAGGGCCTCATCTTTTGGTACTATATCAGACAATGTTTCAGGGCTATTCATAAAATTTTTTAGTAAATATTGGACAGTGTTTCACTGCTATTCATAGGTTTTCACAGGCCACTTCTCTGAGAAGTGGATGGCCCCTTCCTTCTTCCGAGTCTGTCTTAGTCTGGAAATGCCACTGAAACCTGTCCACCATGTGTGACCCTGCTAGTATTTGAAATACCAGTGCCATAGCCTCCAGCCTCACAGTAACACACAAGCGACCACAGTATGACAAACTGGCAAACAAGTGGTGGCTATGTAGATAAGTGTTATGAAAGCCTTCCCTGAGAGCCAGTGCCCTGAACTTGTACTTCTAGCCTCCTAAACTATGAGAAAATAGAGATCTGTTTGTTAAACCTCTCTACTTGTGGGATTTCTGGATAACTAGACAGTAAAGATTTATAAGAGATAATGTTCTTTCCTTAATTGAAGAGAAAAAAAAAATTTATAAATATGTCAGTTAAATAACAAAATACAGAAGCAAATGCCAAAATGTTGAACTCTCAAAAACTCTAGGTTATAAAGAAATACGTAACAGGAACAAATCTGCAGACATTGAACTTGTGTGTGGAATGAACCTTATGGAAAGCACAGAACTGAGTGACTCTTAAAAGATCAGGTACCAGAGAAAAGATCATTATGTAAAAGAGTGCATTTTGAACACAGGATTGCAGATAGAATTTTAAATGTGCAGCAATGCTGTTGAAAATCCGTGCTAAGAAGTAAGAAGAAATATGGAAGTTCAGAATATGTGCAGAAAATAGGGAATTATTTAATAACTGTGATGGGAGGAAAATATTGGTAGTACTTTATTATTATTATTATTTAAGAAAGCATAATCTGGTAGCTTTCTAGGTAAATTTAGGGCTTAGAGAAACTAATGAAGGGGTAAATATTGCCAAAATAAGAGTCTTTATTGAGTGATGAGTGTGAAATGAAAATCTACATGAAATCAGAGATGTTCAGAGAGAATAAAGACTTGGCGATATGAGATTTAAAGGATGGAAAGATATAACAGAAAAAAAGAATCCCTAGGTCTCAAGAAGGAGCTTTGGTAGCATCTTTGGTAGTGTCTAAGGCACTTGACTGTTAACCAGAAGGCTGGTGGTTCAAACCCACCAGCCACTCCTCAGAAGGAAGATGAGACAATCTACTTCAGTAGTGATACTGCCTTGGAAACTCAAGGAGGGTTTGCTCTGAGTCAGGTCCGACTTGATGGCACATAACAACCACCACCACAACAACAACAGATCTCAAGAGTAAAAAACACTGAGTATTAGTTATAGCTTTACAGGAATAGACACAGAATTAGAAATACACAGTTACCAGGCTACACTTACATGTTGGATGAATTTCTAAGGCCTGAATTTTAATAAGAACAATGTTGAGTTCAAATATTCAGAAGGAAAGATTACAGGAAGAGACCTTCCTTGAATGGAATAAAATATTAGGTAATACTGATCATATCCATCATAGATATTAGACATACTGAGGTTAAACTAGTGGTTCTTGGCTAGTTCCTGCCAAATTTTCACTAATATGCAATATAAAATTTTGCTATAAAAAGAGTATATATTACTATGATAATGTCTGTTAGAGGGAAAACGGAGCTGAAAATACAATGGAATGGAGTATTTAGTCAGCTCCAGTGAGGTGACTAAATGAGCACTAAGTGTAACATCAAGATGAAACCGGCATATTTTCCATAACAAATAAGAATCCTACCATATGAAGATTTTGAAAGCAAAAACAAACAAAAAACACCCACATTTGTTCATTGCAATAATCATTTCTATTCAAATACTAAATTTTGGACAGGACAGCACTAAATAGAATCTACCAAGACAAAATCATTTTGGTTGATATTTATTAATTTATCATCATCATCAACTACATATAAATCATATTATCATAATACAACTGATATTTGTTCCCATAACCTAAAGGAATAGAAAGCTGCAATATAGTACTTATAACATGGTATTATAACATGACTTTTTGAACCTAGTAGACAGTAACAACTTGAGACACAAGTTTGTATTTGATTTTCCTGTGTCCTCACAGTGACTTAACAATTCAATATTTTTGGAATATGAATATATAAATAAACAAAGGCTCTAAAAGATTGATATATAAACAACACAAATATGCCCTTCAGAGAAGAATTTGCTCTCAATTTTTTGGGGGACTATATACCTAAATTAAGGAGCTCTGGGTGGTGCAGTGGTTAAAGCATTTGCCTGCTAACTAAAAGGTAGGCAGCTGGAATCTACCAGCAGTCTACTTTTATAAAGATTTATAGTCTTGGAAACCCTATGGAGCAGTTTTACTCTGCCCTACAGGGTCACTATGAACAGTATGAATCAGAATCAAGTCAATGATTAAAAAAAAAAAAATATATATAT